GAGTTTATTTTTGTGTATGAGTGTAAGAAAGTAGTCCATTTTCATTCTTTGGCATGTAGCTGTCCAGTTTCCCAAGCACCATTTATTGAAGAGACTGTTTTATCCCCAGTGTATATTCTTGCCTCCTTTGTCATAGATTAATTGACCATATAAGCATGGGTTTAGTTCCGGGAAGAAAGAGCAATGTGTGTTTAAGAGCAGAAGAGGATATGACATAAGGAAATGTTTCAAATGAGTAGTAATGTGTATCAACTGGGCATAACATGATTTTAATTGAGAGTTAAAGATTACATGAAAAAGTTTTAATAGTAGCATGCCCACTGCAACAAGTCATTTTGCTCTTTCCACTTACGCTTAACAGTTTTTTAAGGTTAACTACTATTGACACCACAATTGAAAATCATTAGTATTTTCTCATCTCTGTTGCAGAGATGAAAATGTTATTCCACACCTTGAGTTGTCTGGTTAGAGAAAACAAAGCAAAACAAAAACAAAGGAAATATTTTCATTCCACCTCTTGCTATTTCCAGAAGCTATACCCAGAAGCTATACCCAGAAGCTATACCCATGAGAAACAATCACAAAGGAAATAGAGCTGTAGAATAATAGAGTCACAGGGGGCCCTAGAGATCAGTAACAACTTCTAGTTTAGTTTACCAGTGGTTGTGATGGTTAATTTTATTTAATTAATTAATTAATTAATTTATTTATTTTTAAAGATTTTATTTATTTATTTGACAAACAGAGATCACAAGTAGGCAGAGAGGCAGGCAGAGAGAGAGGGGGAAGCAGGCTCCCTGCTGAGCAGAGAGCCCGATTCGGGGCTCGACCCCAGGACCCTGAGATCACGACCTGAGCCAAAGGCAGTGGCTTAACCCACTGAGCCACCCAGGCGCCCCTAATATTTTTTTTTTAAGATTTCATTTATTTATTTGACAGAGAGACAGAGATCACAAGTAGGCAGAGAGGCAGACAGAGAGAGAGGGGGAGGCAGGCTCTCTGCCAAGCCGCGAGCCTGATGTGGGGCTTGATCCCAGGACCCTGAGATCATAACATGAGCCAAAGGCAGTGGCTTAACCCACTGAGCCACCCAGGTATCCTTTGATGGTTAATTTTATGTGTCAGCTTGGTTAGACTATGATGCCCAGTAGTTTAGTCAAACACTAGTCTAGATGTTGCTGTGAAGATCTTTGTGGATGTGATCAGCATATGTAGTTATTTGACTTTGAGTAAAGCAAATTATTTTCTATAATGTTACTGGGCCTCATCCAATCAGTCAAAGGTCTTGAGAACTGGGACAGGTTTCCTAAAGAATTCCTATTCAAGACTGCAATATAGAAGTCCTACCAGATTTCCCAACCCACTGGTTGCCTTTCAGGTTTTCCAGCTCTTACAATCACATGAGCCAATTCCTTAAAATAAATCTGTTACTTCCTCCTCCCTTCCCTTTTTTCCACCTTTCTCCTTCCCTCACTCCCCATATATATTTATAAACATAAATATATATTTATAAACATATATATTTATAAACATAAATATATGTAACATATTTATTTATATTTTATATTTATATTGTACTTTTATTATATAAATTTTATATGAATTATAATATATTTATTATATAAAGTTATTTATGTTTTATATATAAATATAGAATATACTTTATGTATAATAATATATATTATATAGAGTTCTCTAGAGAACTATGACTAATACAGTGGGATAACTAAAGCTTAGTGAAATTACATGAATTTCTTTTTTTTTTTTAAGATTTTATTTATTTATTTGACAGACAGAGATTACAAGTAGGCAGAGAGGCAGGCAGAGAGAGAGGAGGAAGCAGGTTCCCTGCTGAGCAGAGAGCCCGATGTAGGGCTCGATCCCAGGACTCTGAGATCATGACCTGAGCCGAAGGCAGAGCCTTTAACCCACTGAGCCACCCAGGCTCCCCAAATTACATGAATTTCTTAATGTCATTTAATAAGTGATGGCAGAGCTGGTAATAGAAAGATGGGGAAACTGGGTCATAAAATTGCCTAAAATATTGATTATAAGACTAGGAAAGAAATTCAGAACTATGAACTTTTAACCCTGTGTTTTCTGGTGGATTGCAAGCTGAAAAATGTGAAATTTTATGCAAAACCAATATATTAAAAATTCTGAAATTTAAAGCAGATAAAACAGGAGGGGAATTGTTTATTTCACCAAAAGGTACAGTGTACAATTCTTTTTTAAATATATAATTTAAATTCAATTAGCCAACATATAGTACATCATTAATCTCAGAATAGTGTTCAACAATTCATCAGTTGCATATAACACCCAGTGTTCATCATATCACATGCCCTCCTTAGTGCTCATTGCCCAATTAACTCATTCTCCCATACACCTCCCCTCCATCAACACTCAGTTTGTTTCCTATAGTTAAGAGTTTCTCATGGTTTTTCTCTCTCTGATGACTTCCCATTCAGTTTTTGCTCCCTTCCCCTATGATCCTCTGTGCTGTTTCCTATATTCCACATGTGAGTGAAGCCATGTGATAACTGTCTTTCCCTGATTGACTTATTTTACTCAACATAATACCCTCCAGTTCCATCCATGTCGATGTAAATGGTAAGTATTCATCCTTTCTGATGGCTGAGTAATATTTCATTGTATATATATATACCACATCTTCTTTATCCATTCGTCTGTTGATGGACACCTCGGCTCTTTTCACAGTTTGGCTACTGTGGACACGGCTGGTATATACATTGGGGTGCAGGTGCCCCTTCGGATCACTACATTTGTATCTTCACAGTAAATACCCAGTAGTGCAGCTGGTGGGTCATAGGGTATTTAACTTCTTGAGGAACCTCCATACTGTTTTCCAGAGTGGCTGCACCAGCTTTCATTCCCACCAACAGTGTAAGAGGGTTCCCCTTTCTCTGCATCCTCATACAATTCTTTATAAAGACAACTTTCTTCAACACTTAAAGTGGCTTCATTTAAAAAAAAAAAAAAAGAAAGAAAGAAAAGTAAGCTTAGAGGCACCTGGGTAGTTTAGTTGGTTAAGCGACTGCCTTCCGCTCAGGTCATGATCCCAGCTTCCTGGGACAAGAGCCTCAAATCAGGTTCCCTGCTCGGCAGGAAGCCTGCATCTCCCTCTGCCTGCTGCTCCTCTTGCTTGTATACTCTGTCTCTCTCTTTCTGTCAAATAAATAAATAAATAAAATCTTAAAAAATAAAAAAGCTTTGTAACCTTTTAGAGACACATAAGTTCAACATACTTGAACAGGACATGTTTTTAAAGTGTATCTTATTAAAAAATATTCCCAAGATCTAATAATTACTTCATTCTCCTGAAGATGAATGCTCTGTGTGGATAGAAAAGATAATGAAGGAAATAAACATATGTTATCTTAATAAACAGAAATCTTGCATTTTGTATGATGTTTTGCTGATAACAAAGCTTTTCATATACACTCCTTCCTGGAAGCTTCGCCACAAATCTCTGAGTTATTATCTACATTTTATAGTGGAGATAACCTGGGCTAACAGAACTAGAAGACTTGCCCAAACTATTTAGACAGAACAACTGATTCCCAGATCTGAGCTCTCTCCTCGGGGCCTTGCCATAATGCCAACAGAGCACCAGCATTATTCAGAAGGGTGGTATTTGTAGGTCTCTTGACCTAGCATCTTATTGGGAACTAAATTTTCACTCTAATCAAAAGGATTTGTGGGCTCCTACTGGGCTCTCGAGAATATTAAGATTTATCTTAGGAAAAAGAATCCTAGGACAGGTCTTTCTTATTCTGAAAGATAACCCTACCTTGTTCTCTTGAAGCTATGAATTATTCTAAGAAGCAATGGAAAATTTGATCACTAAGGATGAGGAACAATCTCCTTTCTCCATCTTTCTCACAGTGTACCCCATTTGGAGTAAATACTCTGTGGGCTCTGCATCTTCTTATAATAAGCAAGCATTAGTTGTGGTTTTGGGTGCTGTGTGGTTTACTGAAGTGAAATGATCACTCCCAGCTTTTCTAGCTCTCTCTCCTACCTTGTTTTCATTTCTCCAACCTGAATGCATTTGCTTTAGGAACAGGATTTACACACCACTGCAACTACATTCTTTGGGTTGCAACGACTTAACATATTTTGAGTGCATTGGTTGTACGTTCCTCAGGGCACCCCTGGACTCATCATATTTGTAAAACTGGATTTCTCTTCTCTTCCCATCTGAGAGCAGGTGGACCAAGACAGTTTTTTGGAGGCTCAATGAGTGATTTCTCCTGAGAGAGACACATCTCTCCAGTCTGCCAAGGAATGAAAAGTCAGACAATTGCATAAATCATTTTGAATGTTGCCAAATAAATTCCACCAACTGCTACTGACAATAATCACAGTATGTCACTGGGAAATGTGATTTTCTTCTAGCATCGGGCTTTAGCCATGTCCTAAGTGCCATGAAAACGACACAGGCAGCTCTCTCCATAGCAATAACCGATTTCTCACGATCCAGGAAAGGAAGGGGTTGAAGTGCTTCTTTACCTTGAAATGTCTGGAACAGGATACCAAGGAATAAGTAGGAACCACTAGAATCTACTGCTCTTTGCGGAAAGCACACTTGTCAACTACTCCAAAAATTAGGCGAACTGGTGATTAAAGACCACCATTTTGTTATAAGCAGGACTGTGGGCTCTGGCCGAGGAGAGGCACAACCTGTTGTAGCTTACAAAAAGGAAAGCTCTTTGGTAAGAATGGAAAGTCCTGAAAGCCAGTATGAGAGTCTGCTCCCTGGGAGGCGATAACATCCCAAGTCTACTAGGATTTTAGGTTCAACCCCAAGACTGGCTTTCATACAAATAGGACCGGGAAGTCACATCAAAGGGCCGAGCACAGCCATGGGCAAAGCAGCTGGGTGAACCAAGTTAGAAAGAAGACAAGGAAAGCTGCAGAATGGCGAGAAAAGGCAGAGACGCAGAGGAGGGATAAGACGGGAGGAGGGAGTCGAGGAGGGAGGGGAGAGAGGAGAAAGCCGAGCGCGGACGTCAGGAACAAAGCTCCAGCGGAGTCTGGCGGTGGCACTAGGGGAGCATGGGGTGTTTTGAATAATTATTAAAATTAGCATGTGTCTGCGCCATCCTGTGGGTGTGGCGCAGAGCGGAGTGTAAACTCCAGCGGGGCCGGAGCAAACATTGGATTAGCGGCAGCAGCCTGCCAGCCTGCCTAGGAGTGCGGGGACCAGCGCGCGGCACGCCGACCGGCACGATGGCCTCGTCTCAGGGGAAGAACGAGCTGAAATTCGCCGACTGGATGGCAACTCTGCCGGAGAGCATCCACAGCATCCCCCTCACCAATTTAGCCATCCCAGGTAGGTGCGCGGAGGCTGCCGACGGGGCGCTCCACCTGCCCCGCCCTGCATTATCTGCCACGAAGTGGGAACTTGCCACGCTGCCCGAGGGAGGGAAACTCGTCCCCAGGGGTGGGTCTCCGGCCAGGCGAGCGCGTGCCTGGGAGCCTCGGCCCTCTGGCGTTTTGCAAACCTCTGGGGACCGTGGCGCGGCGAGTCAAGGTGACTGCTGTTGCCCTGGGCTTGGGAAGCAAGCAGGCTGCACGAGAGGGCTGGGGCAGGGGGAAGCCTCGGCTCTACGATCCGCCTTGCGCCCCCTCCCACGGTTCTCCTCGCAGACTTGTGGGGGTGGGGTGGGCGGGGGTTGATTTCTCGGACTGTGGGGTGACCGAGCGCGGTGAGCGCGACCCGGTGTCCTGAGGGCTCGGCCCCGGCCGTGGACCTCCGACTCCATCCCTGTCACGGAATGGAGCGGATTTGGTAGATTTCTCGGTGAGAACCTACCCGAGTCGTTAATATTCGTCCCCAGTCTCCTTTAAAAAGACAAAGCGCTTCCTTAAGAGCGAGGAAAGTTCAGGGACCTGCGGCGGCGCGATCGCTGCCCTTGACCGCGAGCTGAAGGGAGCGAGGGGAGGAGGGCGCCGCTTCCCGGTCTGCCGGGTGGTCACGTCTGGATTCTGTTTCAAGCGCAGTTGGCGGCGTGTAGCGCCGGGGTCAGGAAAGCAAACCCTTGCGGACCGTGCGTCCGTTGCTCGGGACAGAAGCCCGGCGGCGGAGGGGTGGGATTCGCAGGCAAACCAAAGGGGAAAGGGGAGCACGCGAGTGTCCAGACAGCCTAGAAGGAAGGAAATCCGGGCAAAGCGAGGAAGAGACGCGAGGGATCCGATCCAGAAGCTTCAGCATGGCGCGCGGGGCTCAGATCAGAGGACTAGACAGGCTTCCTGGGCGGGAGCGTGCAGTAGCCCCTAGCTCAGGTGTGCAGAAGAGACGGACGTTTCAGGGCGGAGTACTACGGTAACAGCTGGGGACACGGCCAGACTTCGTTACCAATTTGACTTTTCACTTGGGTTGAGGGTGCAGATGCCTGATTTTCCCAGGAGCCGGCCAGAGGGCAATTTACCCACAGGTAGTCCACCCCCCGCCTCGAGCTCAGCCCTGTTATCAAGTTCAACCTTCTGGTCTGTCTCCTCTTGATCTACCCCATCCAGCGCCCCCTCTCAGCCACTGGAGGAAGGCATAATAAAGAGGAAAGGGGGAGGGAAAAAAAAAAGGAAGAGAGGGGTTCCTTTGAAAAAATCCCAACAGGCTCTAACCAGCAGCTCTGGAATTGATCAGTAACCTAAATCAGTGGTCGTTAGTCAGGTGGATGTTTGGCTGCTATGACAGGCACAGGCTGCACTCAGCACCAAGCCCTGAAGGAATGGTTTTTCTCCTTATGCCCTTCCTCAAGAGGTAGCTTCCCAAGAGCCCAGGTGTCTCTGAGGAAAAGAACAACCCAGCTTCTCCACTGTGCGCTTAGCCCTGCTACCTGGGTGAGCCTAGGGATTGCTCTTTTGAAGGAGACAGTAGAAAGTACACAACTTTGTTGGCAAAATTTCACTCTCACTTCCACAGGCGTTCCTATCCTCTTTGCTTCCTTTTTATTTGGTTTTACACAGTTGCTTTCATACAGTCTCACCTGAACACTTCCGTACACATAGAAAGTAATCAAGGCAAGGACTCTGATGCCGGCCTTCTGATGGGTGACTTGCCAGATACACAGGGAGTTAAAAAGCCCAAGTTCACATTGCTAGTTATGAGGGATAGTAGGATACCACGTCAGAGTCTACATTACATTTCTGTAATTCTTTACTTTTCAAAACCCTAGTATGGACACCAGATCAGAGAACTCTTCCCCAAACCTCATCAAGGAGCAGTGCTGGTACTATTAACTCCATTTCATAGATATAAAAACTGCAGCTTGGTGAAGGCCAATAATTTACCCCCAGACCAGTGATCTGACCCCTAAAGTGGTCCTTAGAGAAAGTATCCTAGGAATTTTTGAGAGAAATGCTTTGGGGTTTGTATCTGGATGGCTTAGTAGCAACAGCTGCTAATCAGGGTGAGGGGACAAGGAACGAGGCATTAACAGGATACAGGGCAATTTTCCTTTTCTCAAGTGAAAATCCGAGGTCAGAGACTGATACTCTGCTTGTCTTCCTGTGGAGGCGTTAGGGGTAAGATTGGGAGGCTTTGCATGGGATCCATTTTGAGTGTAATACTAAGAGGGATTGTGGCATTGGACTCATTGGGAATTTTCACTGCTTTCTCAGCTCTTCTTAATATGATTCTCAAAGTGATCCCCCTGCAAAGCCTCTCATTCTTACCCCCAATACTTCTGAGAAGAAAAAAAAAAGATGTCTCACCAACTCCATACCCCTGAATTTCCCCCATGATTTTGTAAAGCTATTTGGTGGATCCATGTATATAAATCTAGGTGTTAAAATGGGTTTGGTACTTTTCTGCATTACTCAACTCTAAGAATTTTCGGAGGAAAAAAGACATTCAAACTTTGATAGAGAAGACTAATTGGAGACTATTAAACACTAATGGAATAATTGCCTTAAAATCATGCTAATAGCTTCCTGGCTGCTACATGTTTACTTGGCCAGTTGCTACAGCTTGAATTAAGTAATTATCTCCACCATTTAAAACCACTCCTGATGCACCATACAAGCGTTTCTGTGGAAGGCAACGACTGCTCCGTCATCCTCAAAGTTCAGGTTTTTCTTAGGTGAAGCAACTGGGGAGTGAAGAGCCGCTTAATTAAGAGGCCACCCTCTTGGAGCAGCTGACCCAGATCACCCAGGGCTAGTGCAAAGAACAACTTGCAGGTGTGTGATACTCCCCACCGCGAGTGCCTTTCTGGCTTCTCTAAATGTTTCTCAAGTGTCTGCATCTTCAGTGCTTTCAGAACCACATCGCTTACTGGCTGTTTGCATTTAAATAGTCTCATGATTTGATATTGACTGGCCTAACTAGTTGCTAGTAATCTGTATTAGTAGTTTTACTTCCAGTTTACCTTTCAAAGGCATGGTGCTGTCGGAATATATTGACAGGTGCTCAGATTCTCGTCTCATTCGTCATTTCTTCCAGTCTCTAATGACGCCAAACGGAATTTTCATTCATACATGTTTTTTTAAACAATATCCTGGCATTTGGGGTTATGAGTGATGCTTCCTGTCACTACAGGCAGGTGAGAGAGAATAAAGAGAAATGGAAGCAGGAAGACATATGGTGAAATTCAGGTGAAAGTGAGTCTGATGAATTTCTGACATCTTTGCAGATGTTCTAACCTTACAATCATGGCGTCTCCAGAACCACAGTAAAGAGATGCATCGTGGGAGTAAGCAAGCTTTTTGCTTGATCTGGGTAGGGTGTTGGTGATCTGGGTCTAGGAGAGGGAGTCATTCTGTCCAAAATCTGAAAGATCGGGGCGGGGGGGCAGTTAATTCCACGGATGGTTCTGCCATACATTTTCTGATAACGTGATGAAAATCTTCACATAATACAGCAAACGGACCATGTAATAATGAAAGATTGGCCAAAATATTGTGGTATTGGAACTCAGAGAGAGTGTATGTTTCCTTAGTGTTGGAGTTCACAGAAGGCCGAGACCTCCAGCTGACCCTAAATATGGACCCCAGCAATTAGTCTCCTCACCCCCTCCCCTTTCCTTGGAACATGCTTTCTACCCACTGTCCAACAGTTGGAGCTCTTTCAAGGATGCTGCCCTAAGAGAGTAATTCCTTATTAAGACCATTTGGTGGTACATGTGACTGAACCCAGGAATGGTCTCTCTATATAAAGTCTTAAGATTCCCGTGTGAAGATCTACTCTTCCTGTAGCCACCCCAAACAAGCCTCATATATAAGTTCTCTTGCTTATGAAATGTGCCACCTACCAGTCTGGGGTGGCCTGCTTCTTTCTTTAGTCTCTTCATGATCTCTGTGTACTAGGGTTAGTTTTCAAGCAGACACTTAAATAGGAATTGTTGATTGTGCTTTAGATAAGGAATGCAGAAATGCTTTGGAAATCAATAATTGTACCTGATGATTTTGTCCGTTTCTTCCAGAAAGTACCAATGGCAATGAAAAAGAGCAGTTTTACTTAGGGAAACTAGATGTTTATACAGCTCTGATTTCGGTGTTCTTGTGTCTGCTTTTATTAGTTTTTCATTTCTTTCCTCACAACAATCTCTTCTTGTTGCCAGTATTTCTGGAGCCAGCTGTCTTCTTCCTTTTCTTTGTAATTTACTGTTTCTATTTTGATTAGGTTGAGACCATCTAAAGGGCAAATCTATGATTGTGTCTCATTGTAAAATTTCTTTTAAAAGGCAGGGTTTGTTTTTGTGTGTGTGTGTTTTTTTTCCCCATCATTTTAGTCAGGATGGTATTATGGAAGTTAATCTTTGAAAGCAATCAAAAAGCAACAAAATTGTTTAGGGTGAATACCTTTTTTGTGGTGCCTTTCCATTTCCCGATTTTGTTTTTGATTTTGCTAAAAAGGAAAAATTAAGTATCCGGAACATCACTTATTCTAGGACTTTTTCTTGATGAGTTGAACTGCATCACCACCTATTAAGATAAAGTGATACTGATGCCATTTTACAGCTTACAAAATGTGTTCTCATTTACACACGTTTTCTACATGTTGTATCAGTAAACCTCCAAGGCCTTGCTACTTAGAGTTGAACAAGGGGAGGTAGAAATGTATCTCAGATTCCACCTCTCAGACCAATTTAATCATAATCAGCCTTTAGCAAGAACCCGAGGTGACTTATGTACACGTTTAAAGTTGGAAAAACACTGCTTTAGGGTAGTTCTAAGGGGATCCTTTATGTAAGTGGCAGAGCCAAATTTAAATATACATCTTTGACTAAGCTCTTTCTTTTGGACCATGCAGTCTATTTATGAGTGTTCAAAATTATAATCAGGCTTAGAGCCAGAATGTAGGTATTTGACTCAAAGCTAATGGCCCAG